CCGATTCAGTTGTCAAGATTTACGGTGTCGGAGTAAATATATCATTGCGCGCGATAATTAATTCTGAACAATTGACTGCTCTATACACCTACATAAACTCTTGACAGCAAAATTGCATTAACAATCACGCAGCTTGTTATTCCTTTTCTTTTATAATACATTGAGAAAGAAGAAATCAATAAAAATGCCGTGCAGCATTTCCGTAATGTTTTATCTTTCTCAGCTACGAAAAATTCGAAAAGGCTTGAAGTACCGATTTGTATACTTTACTTTTTCTTCTCATATTCTTTTTTTTATCCTACCTGACCTGACTGATTAATTTCATTTCGATTTGTCGATAGAGAAGGGAAAGTTGATTAACAACGGCCGTGCCTGCCAATTGACGTTAGTCTGACTGTGTGCAATCGGTCATATACACACGGTTACAGTTTTATAATCTACATACGATTACTCAGTCTATAATTTCGATATATGGGTCAATGTCTCGGGCCGAAATAAAGTATCAATCGTACTTCATCTCGTTCCAATCGCGCGGACGTTCCACTTTTGGTAGATTAATTTTTTCCTCCCACCGACCTTTCTCCTCCCTCTTTCTCGCCTCTCTCTCTCTCTCTCTCTCTTTCTCTCTTTTTCTCTTCCGCCCTCTCTCACTTATCTCGTTTTGTTGTCATTTTCGCGCGTCTCATTTCTTACAATCTACATATGGTTTTGCGGGTCATTGGTGTGCGCGCGCGCGCGTACCGCAATAAAGTATCAATCATACCGCCTCATCTCTCGGACCGGCCGAGCCGGCCAACCCGCTCCGGTCCGGGATGCTACGCGCCGCGTGGCGCCCAGGTGTGTTCCGCCTCGCGAATATGAAGAGTGCCGGCAGCCTGGTGACACACTTCCCCAATTCTCGCATTGTTCTTCATCCGCGTGCACGTACGAAATAAATCTCCGTACGACGCGGGGAAGGGCGGGAGTGAGCGAGGGAGGAAGAAAAAGGGGCTGACTAGTCCCCCTTGGCCTCGTGACCGGCTCGTAATTGCGATTGCTTTTCGTGGGAGGGCCGGTAGGTATATATAATTGATAATTAAGCGCGCGCCCTCCTTGCCCCCGGCAAAGAAGCTGGAAGATGAGAAAGAGGGAGAAGAACGGCAGGGAACGGAAGACCGAATGTAACGATGCCATTTGGGACTTGCGTGCACTTGAATGCGATTGGCCCGTAACCTTGCTTTCATATTGCCGTATGTTATATTCTTCCACCTACTGCAATTTAATTCTTTGGATGTCAAACTATATCAGAGAAACTTGAAAGTAATCATATGTAGGTACTTATTTCATCAATAATCAGTTATGATTAAGTTTAATCTTGGTTTAGGTGACGCTTCTCTTTAGAAGTAAACAGAAGATCGTTGACTTAAATGGATCGTGTGACGTTTTTAATTAACGCGAATAAATCTTAATTACAGCGAGTTACGAATCATCGAATTCTTTTCGGGAATGCGCACGTCTTAATTTACAAACATTTATTTTCATCTTCCTCGACGTCACGTTAATTCACGTCACTGTCAGGCATTTCTAAACATGTTTCCACGAGTCATTACACTCGCGGTATGTCAACGCACTTCGACAATCGGTCTTCGTCTTGATGACGAAGTTTCAGATTGACATTGAAATTCCATTTTAGCGGGCTTATCTCAATTTTTCGATGGTGTACATACATGTGCGCAAACAAATGAAACAAGCCGCGTAAACGTCAATTCGCGCCCGAATGTCTCTCAAGATGTTCATGTAGCTTTCCTTGTTTCTTCGAGAATAACGGTTAATACATATTGGAAAAAAAAAAAACAACGAGATGAGATGCGGGCTACCTCAGAGTGTTTTTCACAATTGCTTTTTTTTTACGAACGATGCACTACACGTTCGCGAGACGAATCAACGTTAATTTAATCGACAGGATTAATAATGTTATTAGTACGCGTAACCAACGGGCTGGAATAGCTGCGTGAGCGCCGTGATGAATAAATATATCAATGATTTTTCTTGTTTTTAACTTGTTCGTTTGTAACCAATACACCGTGAACTCGATCTTTCCCATGTAAGCCGATCGTAACGCGCGATTCAAAGTGTTACAACGATAATTCAGTTTATTGCCTTGACTTTACTTCCCGCCCCTCGTTATATCAACCATAAGCTACTATCTTTATTTCTCTCTCTCTTTCTATTTCTCTTTCTCCTTTTTTTTCCAAGAGTGAACCTAGTACGAACTCTGTCGTTATAAAACTACGAGTAATAACACTGTAACTCATTGTCAGTGGCCAGGTAATAATGTGGCGTCCCGCGGCGTCGGTCGGGTTGGTTGATGTCGCTTTCGTAGAAATGTGCATTGTTGCAGGAAGGAAAGATATGTCCCGGAATACGCTGGTACACGTTCGTAGTTTCGCTTCCCAGATTCAATTCGCGCCATTAGTACGTAGAAAAGATTAAAGAATCTTGTAAACACTATAAGCAAAAGTACTTTGAAGAATTAAGTAAAATTCAAATACATTGCTGCCTATTACAGATTGTATTAATTAAATAGAATTTATAATTATTTTATATGGAACCAAATCAAGTTTCAACATCAATTTTTAGTACGTGATTTCCTTGCAAAAAATATTACAAATTTATCTATATATTTGTATAATATAATATAAGAATACGCTATATTATGTATAAAAAATATGGGCAATAATAATTTAAAAAGATGTGCAACGTACGTGCGTCCTGGTTTCAGTATACTTGACTCTTTTCTTATTCAGCAAAAATGCTAAAAATATCTTGACGTTATGCTTTGTTGCATAACGTCGAATACAAACACAATCCATATTGTAATATTTTTTTTTAATTTGCCATGTGCGTGAATCATGATGCTGAAATTCAAGGTTTCGCGATACCGGCGTATTCATTGATCTCACGGAAAGCCGTTTATGTGGAATTCGCGATCTTCTAATTGGGGAGCATTATTATTCGCCAATATTTGCATTGTACGTAAAAGCGAATAGCCGGGGGATCGTTATCTGCGCCACGAACACGAAGAAACATAACTTCGTCGTCGGGGCGATCGTTGCTTATCCGGCAGGATCGCGTAGGTGTTAAAGCGCGCGGTTCTCGCCCACTTGAATCGATTCTGAATGGACAGCACGATCGTTTCGTCCTTTCGGGTGTTCTGTTAACTGTCGCGTCGTTAAGAAGGCCGCCTGTCGAAAATTATAGTCTACATTTTTCTATCGACCTTTCCTAGTTCTCAAAATTCTTCTTCTCAGAATGTCACGAAACTTTAGTTTTGAGAGATTATTATTTGGCGATTATTAATGATCAATTAATTTATTAATATCGTGTTTTTCTAAAAAAATTTTAAGACACGCAAAAAATTGTGCTTGTATAAATATATCTGGATTGTTCAGGGATAAAAAATATTTTAAGTTTATATATATTTATAATATTTTATACATCAAATCACACACATTTACGTCATGCTTTGACTTAATTTTATTTTAAAAAAGCTATTCTCTCTAAATTCGCTAACCAAAATTAAATTAAGTACAAAGATGTATGTACTGGCGAAATTATAAATGCAGATTGGATTTTCACGTATGCACTTGCTTATTTGTCACGTTCAACCGTGAGGGAACACGGTGTCAGTGAATAATTGCGGCTCATTTTCAATGAAATTACGCGACGCGATGCAAAGTGCATTAAGGCGTTGCTTAATCAAGAGGCGTTCTGCATTATTTCATAACTGGACGAATCACGTCGACGTCGGCGGTTGTGCAATCCGTCGCCACGCCGATACATTCATGCGACACGCGCGAAAGTAATTCCGGCATCGCGTTCAATTGCCTCGAATACAATCGATCAATAAATATTTATGAGCGGCTCGAGCATGTCTCGCGGCGCGACAGATGCACGCCTGCCGATGTTTTACGTCGATGACGTCTGTTAGGGGCTACAGACGAAATATATGGTATATCCCTGTTCTGATTTTTTGATCTCCCAAAGTACGAAAACGTCGGAATAACAAGAATCTAAGGAATTAATAGTATCTTATCTTCTGCAATAATATGCAATGTAATATGTAATCTTCGCAATCTTCTTACCTAAAGTCCTGTGATTCGATAATGAAAATTATCTTAATCGCACTTCTATAATTCTAAAATTTTATAATTAAAAATGTTTAAAAAATTTAAAATTCTCCATAATTTCGAGAAACTCTACAGTCTCATTGAATTTTTGTTTGGACAATAACGTAATTTTTTATACGATGCAATCAGCATTGAAGCTTTCTTTTGGATATCAAAGATACTCTTAAGACGTTATGACATTACGTTATATTGCATAGAAGGAACGTACTCGCTGTTGCCGGAGTTCTTGCGGCGCTTATTTACGAGCACGTTACACGCAATGTTAATTCGACAGATTTGACCGTAAATAACGCCCATGTATACCCACACGGACCAGGTATATATTTATCTCAGTCTATAAAATTTATTCCCGCCGGATGTGCCGCAGTTTAGGTGATGGCTGAAATTTATGAACGCGAGTTGAGGAATCAACGCGCAGCGAATTTTATACGTGTTCACCCGACACACTTTTTTTTTCAAGTCATTAAAGACGATTTTATCCGCGTGCGTAAAGAGATACACTCTGATATATACAGATGCTCCAAAAAGGCTAGTCGCGCGTATATTCCGAGATGCGAAAGTTCCGAGCAAAGTCCTAAGGATTTATTTAAGCTTCTATTCTTTCAATAATATCCCACAAACGCGGGGCTCTTTCCTCAGACTCTTTAGAGCATGGAAGGATTTAGTATCTAAGATCGATTTCTATTTGCCGATAGCATCTAGAGAGACAGAGTGTCTTACATTGAAACGCGCTGGGATATCGTCAGATACGAATAGAGATACGTCAAATTAAATCCGATTCTCGATTCTTGAATGTCACAGCGATCAGTCGTGTTCCATCGATTGTTTCAGGAGAATGGTTGCCTGTACTCGCATATACGATGGGGCGAGGCCTTCGTCGTGGTCTACAGCGTGACATGTAAGCGGAGCTTTCAGGAAGCTCGCGGACTTCTCAAGCAACTCGCGGATCTACGCCTGCCGTCCTATTTCACCGCCCTCCTGCTCGGCAACAAGAGAGATTTGGATCATGCACGGTAAGCGTAAATCACAACATTGTTACAAATATGATTAAGAGTTCCGTACATGGGGCGGGCGTGTATCTCCGGGTAACGTCCGATGACGATCTTCTGACTGATATACGACCAAATAAACCGCGCACAAGCGCATCGTAAAAACAGTAATTATTAATAAATCAATAACGGCGTAATTTTTCACTGATGCGAGAGAAGCATCTTTCGGTGCATCTCGGAATTCGTTCATCGCGCGTATCATATATAATTATAAGAAATAATGATCGCGCGCGCGCGCACGCGTGTTCTTTTTGAATTATAATTTATTGATGTCGTCGGGTGAAACTTGCAGAATTCGATACTATATTACTGTAGTTACATTTCAATCCGCTGTTGAGTAATTGTTAATAGGCTACATGATGCCTGAACATAACTGAATATATTTCCCGCGCTAATAAAATCAAAAGAAAAACGATGCTTGTGTGTGTTGTAAGTAATGTTGTGCTTACACATTGTGGCCCATTTTTACCCGCGGCCTCGCAAGTCTGGCACACTTCGTCGATTGTCGTCTTAAGGGGCACTCACACGGTCAATATTTCCGTCAATGTCTGAAATATCTCTCTGATTAACGGTAATCCTTTTTTCTTAAATTAAATAAATTGAAAGTACTTCTGGAATTTTTATATCGGACTTAATATAAGAGAGATGTCGAATATTGAATATTGGAGGGCAAAGGACAATATTTTCCCGCGAAATGTCTTTCCGAGGAAAAATTGTTCAAATTTATCACGAAAATCAAGATAAATGTTGATTGTCACGCGTTTTATTTAGCGCCAAACAGGCGTCATGTCGAATCTCGTTCTCGGAGTTGAGATTTATCGCCGGAGCTCGTTCGACCGCCCGATACGAATCGTATGAGGGCCGCTTAAAGTGGCTCGCTCGGCGCAAGAATTACAATATCATTTCGCGTCGCGCGATCTCCGATCGCGCGACACGGCTTCGTGTATCGCCCTCGGCGAATCGTCGATTATTCGATCGTTCCTCTTTTTCTCTCGACGTCGCGTTTTATGCCGATCGCACAAGCGCGCGCGCGCGCGATATAGGTAACGTGCTGATGCCCGGCCTCTATTAATCCTGCAGTTCACTTTCCACCTGCGAGTAACAGGATCCTTGCCGGCTGTTTCCTAGACGGGGTGAGATTTCGCGTGCACCACGCGATTTGTATTTTTCACAGACAGCCCCTCGCGGCATTTTATCGGGTTGTCTCGGCACGATTTTGTTGTCCCTTCTGCACTCACGTTGCCCACCACGAACCGGTTGTTTCGGTGTGTCTCGCAGAAGAGGAAAATGAGACACTTTGATTCTTCATGTCTCAAAGTTCCCTTGTACGCTAGTAGAGGAGACTTTTTAATTGAATTATACAAAATTCTTACATCCTCGAGCGCTCAAGAATGATTCAAATGTCCGAGTCTTTTAAATTATGACTTGATATTATTAATTTCTGTGATTTCTTTCGTATATTTTTTGCGCCCACTGGCAAACTACCGGAATTGTTGGAAACTTTTTGTATGATGTTTCTTGTTTGAAGAGGGGCTTTTTGCCGCGCGCACGTGAGTTTCTTTTTTTTTTTTTTGCCGGTACGGTGCGCGTTTTCGCAAAAACCAGTTCAACGAACCGAACGTTCGATCAGCCACACGATGACGGAGTAAGTTAATCGGCCGACTGGCACGTCAACTCTGGCAAGCGACTCATCCAAGTCGGTCAAGCGACTTGGACAGGTAAACAGATCTGGCGTGGCAAAATATCGCGTGAACGGTTTCTAGACGACCGACGAACGACATGACCACTACCGGGTGCCCTCTCGAATCGGCGGCATCCGATACTGACACTGCGGTCTGCGGTCTAGATGCCACGTGTCACGTTTCACGTATTGCCGTCGAGGATCGACTATAAGTATGCGGATAAATGGACGTCAAGGAGCTTGTTGATCGTAGAAAATGCGAAGATATTAAGTTATTGTATAAATTTCCTCGATTTTATATCACATTCTTAGAGAGATTTGTATAAGTTTCTCTGCAAGATTATCAGTAATTTAAATACCCGGAAATATGACTTAAAATTTATTTTATTAGAATTTAATTCAAGAATTTCTATAAGAAAATTTCTATATAAGATGAGACATATTGATTTTAAATTTATAAGAGAAATATCAATTTCTCTCATAACACTGAATGTAATTCAGTAAACTAATTTTGCAATTAGTGATCATTGGCTACGCGATCGGCATCTATAACGCAATATAATTTCTTCGATGCATAACGTGATTTTTCATGCAGTAATGTTAAACGAAAAATCGTGGAAAAACATAGCTTAATTGTTCAATAAAAGACGCGCGATATAAAGGTGTGGCTTGCGTGCTAATGCATCTCGTCGCATTTTATGCAACCAATCACTCAAAGTGCATCATCGAGGTTGCGTGATTCGGGCGAGAGAAAGCTAGGAAATACAAGTACGCGATCGCTGTTTTTTTTTTGCTTGTAACTCGAATAAAGAGTGGTGGCTCATTAGCCTTGCTGGATCGGCTTCTCATGTGTCCGCTGCTGGTAAATTAACAGGACAGTGATGCGCGTGCGAATAAATATTCGAGTTTCTCGAGACGCACTTCGTGAACCTACCGTGCCGAGGATTCACGGATCGATGGTTTTCTTTCAAGCGTACGAATGCAAAGAACGTAAATCTCCTCTTAGGTTCGAGCCACCTAAAATCCTAGTTTAATGGCCTGCAAATAAAATATCATTTTTCAGCTTCCCAAAATACAATTTCTTATAATAGTAAAATATATGGATAAAAAATAAAATATTTACAATTGCGTTTAATATTATGTTAATACAGAATCTTATAGATATGTAAATATTAATTAAGTATTAATACAAAATTTTATTGATGATTAATTAGTAAAATTTTTTAAAGAGATTGAAATTTCTTTTATACGATCGACAGCCGAAGATAATCCTTATTTTACCTCTTTCCGCTAATGAATCGTCTTCATTATCGCTTGTTACGTCGCTCGCATCGCGAAGATCGCGCCTCGACCGTTGTAGTCGCGGAAGAAACACGTAGGTGAACAGGACCTCACTTCGTATCCCTTCTTCATCGGACGCAGAGGAATTTCCCGCAAGAATGCGGATCGTCGTTAACGAAGACACGCTCCTTTTCTCGCCTTACGAGCCACCTTCTCTTCTTTACGTCGCCTTTATGGGGCTTTGCATACCGGGAGAAATCTCACCGATGATCTAGTAACGACGGCGGCGCCGCAATTACATACGTTCGATGCTACTACACAGGATGTCTCGAAAAAGTATACATTCGTTCCGAGGCTCCATTCACGAAGGAATTCCAAGTCGCTCATGCTTTATCTCCTTTAAAATGAGAGTTATTCCAAGACCAGACGTGTAATTATATATATAACCGATGTTATAAATATATTTTTTTTTCTTTTAAGGCTTGGCTTGGATTTATATTATTCCACTCGAAAATCTATCGATCTAAGTCATTTAAGATCTCCAAGGACTCCAGGCTTGAAAAATTTATCGTTATAAACATCGTGGTATTTCAAAGTAGAACGGTTTCATGAATCTGATAATTTTAGAAGCGACATCTCCCTTATGCTCTAAGATGCTAAATATCACGTAAATGAAAAAAAGGGACAAATAGATCGAGGTAGGCACAATAGAATTCGACATTCGACGAGGGGTGCACTCTCGGCATTTCAGCCTTTCAACCTCGAACTCACCTTTAGAACAGCAAGGATGACGAGGCGGAGGTCGAGCGAGTTTTACAAGGTGTGTACGAGAGTGATCGAAGTAAATAAAGGTGTCGTGCATTTGCTGGGAATTTCGCGGAGAGTTAACAAAGGGGAAAGACGACGGGGTGCCTCGATAGCCACGGGCGAATACCAAAAATGTCACACAAATAAAATGTCACAGACCTGGACGGTGTTGCAAGCGAGCGATTGGCCGTCGATCCGCGACGGCGATTGCGGCACTGACGGGAAAAGAGCAATTCGATTTACGTAACTGGCATTTTGATGGCATGTAAGAGATACACGCTCTTCGTAACTGTCACGATTATCGTCGAGAAATTTAATTAAACCGGAATTATTCGAGAGATCCATCGATCCCCGAGTCATAAATTACAGCGCGCCTCTTCTTGCGTGTCGCATGTACGGAAAATGATCGATTTTAAATTAATCTTATCAGGCGTGACTCTACCTTTAATGTAAGACTACGGAACAAAATGAAGTTTTCTTAAAAAGGTACATACATTATTTGTTATAGAACCTTGAAGTTTTATAGTTTAAGAATTTAAAATTTTCTTAGCTTTAAAGATAACCTTAAAATTTTAAGATTAAGACTAAATCTTAGTTACAAAGTGCAAAATTTATGAGAATTTTAAAATATTAATGAGGTAAATTTTTTGAAGAATAAATAATTTGTTATAAGATTGTAAAATTTTTTTAACTTGAAGAATGACAGAATATTGAAATCGATCCGAGGGGACCGCGTTAATCTGTGAAGGTGGCATGACATTCTACGAATGTAAAAAAAAATATGAGAGTTCTGATAGCATTTTTCATAGTTCTACAGTTTCTGATAAAAATTAAAAAGAGTTCCCCATTTCTTATATTAAAAAATCGAAATTGAAAAAATATCGTGCTAAATTCGTGAAATTGGGATATTTTTAAAATTTTTATTTTTTAATATAAGGAATGCGAAACTCTTTTTGATTTTTATCGGGAACTATAATATGAAAAGTGCTATCAGAACTCTGTATTTTTTTTTTGAAATTCGTAGAATGTCGTGCCACACAGATCCACCGCGTTGTGGTCTCTCCTATATCCAGTAGCCACGCTCGTCGTCTTAATGGAGCTCATAAAGATTAAAGTGAAGTCCGCTGCAGGGCTGGTGAGACCACTCTCCCGAGAACGAGTTTTCGCCGCTTTAGATGCAACCAGAGAGCTGTCGCGTCGTAGTCGCGAATATCGCGCATTGATAACGCTTATCTCGAAATATCGCGACCGACAATCCCTCGCAGCGAGGCGCGACAAGACAGACTCGTTCGAGAAGAACCATTTCCGTTTCAATTGAGGTGCCTCAGTTTCTCGGACTGTGATTTTTTATCTTGGCACTTTCGTATTTCGAGTATTTTTGGATGTAAACTTCCTTTCTCTCGAAGCTTTTTGGACGTTGGAAACTTCAAATCTTATTTGAAAATTTTTTATTACTTCTGAAAATCTCAAAATCTTTTGATTTGCCAGTTGTACGCGAAACTTGATTACAGCTTCTTTCCTCCTCCACAAATCTTCGTCATCCTTTCACGTACCATTTTTATGGTGGTATTATTCGATTGAGCGTATTGACGCGCTTCTTGTCTCAGAATACTCATCGTAAATATCTCGTCTGTCTACTGCGAATTGAGAAAGAGCGCGGGAACGACAGAAACCAACACCCGCCGCTCGTAAACAACAGTGTGGGGGGGAGGGATCGCGCCTCGCGTATAAAATATAAAAGGGAACAGGGAGATATTAACGGCCGCGAGCGTGGCACGTCGGCTTGTGCACGATCGCGTCTAATCGCTCGCCCTCCCACGTGCCCTCTTCTCGACGCGCACCCCGCGTGAGGATCATGTATTCCTGCGAATTTAATTGTCTCCATAAATATCGGAGCCCCTCTGCCCCACACGTAGAGCCGCGCTCTCCACGCTGGAAATACAGGGATACCTCCCTCCCTTCGCCTTCCCGCCTTCATTCCAAGCATCTGAAGATCCCGAATCTTTTAATCCGCATTTTTTTTGTGTGTGTGTGGTAATTAAAATGCATAAAGCAGGCTGCGGTCGGCATGTTTATCATCAAATTACTCGAAAGTCGATTCGAAAAGCCAATATTGTAGAAATATGTGAAACATATAGATTAATCTAAAATAATTTCAAAACTTTAAAGACTATATAATGAAATGTCAAACTTGCCAAGTTCTTATATTGTATATCTTGAGCTTATAAAGTTTTATTTTAAAAATTAAATAATCTCGTAAATATTTCTGTAAATTCGTTCCGCTTTCTATTTTGAATAAAATAATATCCCATATGTTATAATAAACGTGACATAGCGCGCATTATATAGATGTACAGAAATATACAAGAGGTAACAAAGTTCTTGTTAACTCTAACATCATAAATATCCTGTGGCGCCTGGCGGCTTCATCCTGGCGAAATTCCAGTGACTCCGCTTCCTCTCATAAATGTATGGTCTTTACGGTTGTCGTTCAATCACCTCTCTCTCTTTCTCCACGCGTCTGGTGTTTGCCAAACTCATAGCATCCGTCGTCCGTCCGGTACACGTTCCGCCGTTTTGCGAGGATTTAATTCCAGCCTTGGACGATTCCATTGACTTGAAAAGCGCCAACGTCCGCCAGCGGTATAAATCTGCGAACGCCCGCAACATCCGGTCCGCATTTCCGCCGCTCCCGATCGATGTTTCAACACATGATTCGAGTGTTCCGCGACATAAACCATTCCCTGTGAATCATGCGAAATCATGATCCTCTCAACCGACGAGCGTGTTCCGAGTCTCCAATTATAAGGAGAGTCATAAAGCAGGGAGACCGTAAATCCCAAAGTTTTACGATTTCGAAGTTAAAGCTAAAAGATCTTTAAATTTTCGTTATTTTTAAGAATTGAAGTTTCAAAGCTATTTACGAGATGAAAATTCGTGAATCCTGAGAAACTTATACATATAGTTTTGAGTCGTGCAATTTTTAATTCTTTAATAATAATAATACCATTAAATCCAAATCCATCATGCTTAAATATAAACCGAGTTTGAGGTGAGCTGGGATTTAAATGCAGTACTTTCAGTATGCAAAGCAGGCACTTTGAATTACATAGAAATATTAACATAAAATTCCAAAGTACGTTCTTGCAGACATTTCGAATTTTTTTTTTAAATCTTGGATATCTTGAAGGCGCGCATTCGTCAAAGATATCGTTAAAGAGAAATCGATAAACGTTTCTGTTGCAGAGAAGTGTGCGTGGACGAAGGCCAACAATTGTCGCTGGCGCATGGATGTCAGTTTTACGAGGTGAGCGCCGCGGAGAGTCCCGCGGGAGCGGCGTTAGCCTTCCAGGCGCTCCTGCGGGAGGCGAGGTCGGTCCAGCTTCTGCGAGCGTTGCCGATCCGCAGGAAACTGGGCGTCCACTCGGTCTCGAGAGTCCTCGGGACGATCTTCGGCAAGAACACCACCAAGGACCGTAAGAAGAGGCCGTCGTTGAGCATATGACGCCTTCTATGCGCCCTCCTCCTCGGAGGACGAGATGAGCCAGGCAGGAGAACTGACATCGTCGTCCTCAGCAGCAACGTCTACTCCAATCGCTGACGAGGTCCTCGTTAAGAATGTAGAAATCTCCCTTGTGCCTTCCTGAACAAAGGCCGCCATCGTTGGGATCAGAAGACCATTCTCGTCCGTTGGCAAGAGAATGAGTCTTTTCAAGCATCTTGTAGGGAAAAATACATTTGCTAATCAATTCCCGAGGCAATCAAACTCGGTCCTGAAGCATATTCGAGGACCTAAACTCCGAGGACATAAGACTGATTTTCTGGCTTTGAGGATACGCAGGGTTCAAGGTACAATACCCCCTGGAAGTCTGACGTGCGAAATGTTTAAAGGATCTTTTCAACATCTGGCAGCTGAAAGATCCAAACTCCGAGCAGGTTCCAGTCATGGAGGGCGACATTTATTTTTGAAAAAAACTTTTATGTGCCGAAGAAGGATATTTACACGGTGTTCGCGTGTGATCCTGCTCTCAGTGGCGGGAGAGAAGCGTGTCGACGTAGAACTCAGAGATTGTTCGTGATACGCAAAGGTACTTTTTTTTTAATATTATGATAATTTCACGGTGATTACAAGTGACTGGCAAGTTGTTCCTGAACGATGTAGTCCTTAGAACGATTTATCGAGAATGATCTTATGGTTGCGAATCGCCCCGCAATCAGTTCCGCGAGTGCAACTTTTATAATTTGGGATACATACAATACTTGCACATCACTCGGTGTTTAAGTTATTACGTTATTGACCCTAAACAGTATACACAAAACGTAATAAGCTTTTTTTTATTATTTTCTTCTGTGATACTTATAAATCGAAATTTTTCAAAAGATATCTATATATAATTTTTTAACTCGTAGTTTTTGCACTTCTATATATTTTTTAGTTATCTGTTTCTTAATTATGATTTCAAAATTAAATATTGTTTCTCAAGATTAAAATATTTTATACTGTTCAGGGTTTTTTTTTTTCTCGATGCTTCCGAACGAAACCCGTGAGTCTTTCAAATTTCGATATTTCCACCAAGTGGAAGAGATCGCGATTCGATTCGATTTTCTGCCTATCGTCTCAGTTGTATCTGGAAGGTGTTTGCAAGCGCTCTTATTGAGAGCGACTTCAACACCTTTATCGCCAGGCGTGATTGATTCGATGACCTTAATGTTCCTAAAGAAAGTAGCTTAAGTGTAAATAGCGCACACGTTCACTTATACTCTGCGGAGAGTCTCGGAGACTTAAATAATCATTAAGATTTACATACAAGAGAAAAGAATAATGAGTGCGGATGTTTACAATTAAAGATTATTATTTGATTTGTTTATTCGATCTGATGACGAAGAATATTACGATCGCAACAAAAGGATACGAAATAATACAGATTTGAATCTCAATTGAAGATTTTTTAGTTGGTCATTTTATCGTAATTTGCATTTGGATTTTTCGCAGACCGGAATAAACGATAAGAAACAGCTATTAATGGATTAAAAAGATATTAACAATCGTTTGTGAATGAATGCCATATGTCGCGTCCGTCAAATGATGGATCGATTATCGACTACTCTATCGTAGAAAGTGTTGGTTGTTTGCCTTCTTGCTAAGCTCTTCAATCGCGCGCGATGTTTTGTAAATGGTCTCTTTTCTAGCATAAAGACTACGATCGACTTTTGAGATTCGTAGTTTGTAAAGAGTTTTTTCAGAGTGCCTTTCCGGACAATGTAAAGTCCGTTTACATTTTTGCCAGCAGCTGACGTGCCTTTTGATGCGAGTGTTAACGAAAAAAAGAAACAACTCTATTTACATTACGTTTAGAAAAATGAATAGTTAACGAGCCGTAAATTGCATGATCCCCCTTTAGCGCGTCAGTTTCCAACAGAAAAAAAATACCGTAAAACACAGGCTTTTAAAGTTGGCTTCTTCGAACCAGGAACGGTTCGGCGGAGCTAATGTCTCTCTTTTTCACGATACATTCCACTTGAAATTAGCGTCCCTCTAAAATATGTATGTATATTTGTATGTGTGTGAGTGAGAGAGTGCGTAATTCGATTCCAGGCAGATGTCGATCGCTGTATTCGAAGTGCTAGTCACTTGTTATCGAGAGAGGATAATAATAAAGGAGCGTCTTTTGTTAAACCCTGCCAAGTCAAACTCCACCGTCCTACCGCCCATTTCCTGTCCATGTGAATCATCAATGGTCACCCATGGTGAGTCAACTAACGAGATTTTATTTCTACAAATGCAATATTATATAAGCAGTATTGCTTCTTATGTAAAATAATATATCGAAATAGCTCTGATTTTTTCAAATCTCTTAGCCAGTATTTTCGTATATTTGAAATTTACGGATGCTAGCTATATTTGAAATTAGCTTGTTACCGCATTGTTTTCTGTGAGCCAAAAGTCACGAAGCCTCGCGAGGCGTCTGACGGTCGTAGATTTCGCGAAAAGTCGGTCGGGCAATCTCGCGAGCGAATTTAGCGAATTTCGTTAAGCGAACTCGCTGTTGGCCGAATAACTAGCGATTCGGGCCAAGGTTCCGAGTGCAACACGTGCTCGCCCGTCTCTCTCGGGTCGCGAAATACAGAAATAAAATACGGGCCCCCGATTATATGCATTCTCTCGCAATGACGGCACGATCGCGCCTCGACAGAAAAATGCAAAAAGAAGAAAGGGCAGTGATGCAGCAGGAGCTCAACGTAAATAAGGGGTCGAATATCTCACAGGAAATGAGTCTTAAATTTTCAATGATAAGAATTTGTTATCTAAGAGAGAAATTCTAATGGCGGCAATATTAAATATATATATATATATATATATATATCACTGTTGAGCAGTAATAATATATAATCGTAATAGTGAAACATAAAATGTATTCATTCACTTAAGACTCTAATCTTCTATAGGTCCTATTTAAAAAAATTTCACAAAGTGTCTATATAGTATGAGAAATATGAGAAAGCGAGAAGAAAGAGAGTTATTGTAAATTTTTATATATTTTTAAAAGACTAATAACCACAACAGTAAAATAAAATACAGTCACTTGAGAATTCAATTAATTAATTTAATGATATTTGAAAAAGTGTTTTTAGTATTATGAAGTTTTATGAATGTATTATGAAAGACATAAAAAGGAATAAAAATAAATTTTAATAACTTTTATGTATTTCGGAAAGAGAATAAAAACAGGGTACATTTCTCTCTTTTCCTCTTTCTCTCTCTAAAATAATAACGGTCTCTAAATAGTTTTTCTACTTTTGAAATGCTTGCTCGATTTTGTTCACCCTATCTATATCCGGAATCCAAAAGGAATCTACACCGACCTTTGAATCGGCCGTATATCATAGGCGAGAGGACCACACGGGACCTTTTCGCATACACCGGCGTGAAGCGACATTACGAGGTGATAAGCAGGTACAAGGATTCAAAACCTGGTCGGGTTTAAGATTTCCGAGTCGCGAGTCATCTAAGTCTAAGCGCTACAGAATTTCCTGTGGGCTGCGCGCCTCTCATATTACCTTACGTCCTTTACATCCGTCCCCCCTTCCCGGACACTCCCGCCGCTACCTCCCCTCATCTACGATCCTCTCGCCGTCTTCCCCGAAGACAAACGATCCGGCCAGTACGGGTAAAACGATGCCCCGATGTCGTCGATTTATCGCCACGACGATGTCGCTACGCGTGGGGACCGTGTCGCTCGAGGACTATATTGGTTCGCCCCGAGCCCGGATAATTCCAATTTGCGTATTTCACCTGGGAAATCGAAACCTCATACCGAAACCCGGGAACTCTCTCCCGGTGCACCGCGTCGAAACCAAATCAATCCTGTTACGTTCAAAAAGCTAAATGAGACATCACAGTTTTCTTATTGTATTAAATTTTTGTCGTTCTTTGCATTCTAGATTTTAGATAGATGTATCGTACTCTTAGTGGTAATTCTGGTTTGAGACTTTTGCAAACTTTAGTCTTTCATTGATAATTCACTTGGCAATCTTGGTGTTTCAAGATAAATACCAAACCATCGAAATTTTTTGTACTTAACGTGATGTTCCCTTCTCTTTGCTAATTAAGTAATTACTGACTTAATTTTAATATTAATCGGAACTTTCACTGATCTTGCATTAATTTTACAGATCAGCGTTCACAGAGTTCTTTAATCCCAAAAATAGAATATCGAAATTTTCTACAATTTTCTTCTATACTTGAATGTGTCAATTTAACAACTCCTGTTGAGAGGAGATACTGTTGATATTAATTAATAAGATGGGAGTGCGCATTAAGAAAGATACCAAACTAAACTTCGACTATACAACTCCGTTGCTCGTGCACGCCGTGTTAGCCGAGTGGGTGGCGTTATTACTCGCTAACGAGCATAATTTAATCCGGCGCGGCGCGCGATGTCGCCGATAACGATATATCCCGGGCGCTTATCTCGCGCCAGGCCAGGGAACTGCCTGTCGGTAGCGCAATTCGCGGCTTGCGCGAACGCGAAAAATCGGCAGGTCGTGCTCGAGCACAACTTTTCACATCGCCTTAATCAGCCCGCCTCGCTCGCTTTCGTCCCAGTTCGCCCGGCTCCCACTTAATTAATGACGCCATTGGCGACAATTAGAAATTCAGATTCATCTGAGCGTACGCTCGCTCGCGCGTGCACCCGTGCAGGGTCCGACAATGACCACCTGCCGATCGCGATTCTGGAGGCTGACTTTCGACAGGGAGCGATAACAGGGGAGCGGGCTTCGAGATCGAGGGACGCGTTGGAAAGAGGGACGATGGGGGGCTGAGGGGGAGAGGGGGGATCGACAGGAAAGAGAAACAGGAGAGAGAATCGCGACTCGCTATCGGCAAAAGGCGAAAGCGACGGTTTCCACCGGTGTTATCCGACTCGCGACGGTGAAAACGATGCTTAGTCGTTTGCGCTGTACTTGGGGGCCTCCCCCCCTTTTCTCCCCTTGCTCGCGGGCCCTGTCGTGTCGTCGAGAATAAATCCGTTCTGTGGATGCTGACGGTTCGGCTCTTGTTTCGCCGGTACCGGTGAACCCCGAGAGATAAAGCTGCTTTCGCCGAAAGCTATCGAGGTTAAAGTGTGCGCGTCGCGGTCGGTCTCAAATACTTACGTTTCTATATATACTCGCTGCGGAATCAATGCGGAATCGGAGATTTATATCAGATTATGCGCGAATTATGGCTATCCGGTTATATCTGTCCCGGTTGATTGTGAAAACATGTGTAACGCGAGAATTAGATGACCACCATTCAGCGGTAAATGTCGCCAGTCCCTTTTACGTAAGCCTTCGACTCCGCAGTCCCTTACGTAAGCCCATCTTTATGAAGGATATACCTCCCCGGCTCCCCCAAATTTATCAAGAGACATTTTAGAAATATATCCTTCGGCAAAAAAATTCGCGAATGATCTTCCTTCGCAAAACTTAAATCGTCAAGGAGAAAAAGTTTCTTATATAGAAACAAACAAATGTTGTCTATATAATTGTAAGATATTTTTTGTAATATATTCAACAAAATCTTTATGGGCGAATTATAGATGTCTAAAATGGGCTTAAAATTGCAACGAAATATTTTAGATTCTTCCGGAATTTTTTTCAAGGAGACTCACGTCTTGCAAACCTCGAGATCTGAAGCGGCAGTTTTTCGGACGGATTTCAAATGCGATATCATTTCAGATCCGATTCTGCGGCTCTCTATCATCAGATGCCCCGTATCGACGACGTTGTGGGAAAACGATATTCCATGCGCTACGCGCGTCGGCGATGCTCGCTCGGCGTCGTGACTGCCAAGGTCGTAGGTCGGCCCGCGCTGCACCTTGCACCTCCGCCTTCGGAGGAAGGCAGGGAACCAGCCTGCGCCGCGGCGGCATATCTGACCTCGAGAGTTTGAAATTTAATACACGCGCGCACACCGGATTCTCCTCCGTGGCCTCGATCGACGGACCTACCTAGGCTAGCCCTTCGGTAGATTATCCCTCAAAAGGGATCCGGGAGATCACGGAGAGGAGTAGGTACCGAGAGGTCACGAGGTTTGCGCTCTCCGGGCTCGACGGTCTGCCTCTCTCACAAAGGGTTAACTCGCGCGTTAAGAAACATGCGCTTGTTGCATGCGTCGGGTTGCATGGCGTGTGTCATAAAGCTACTTTGGAACTTTTTATCTTAAACACGTAATAATATGTTGAAGGATGAGTAGCGTTAAACGGCGGAAACTGACAGTAACACGACTATTATGCAATTCGCTCATATCTTCATAAGGAATGAAATCTATAAGTATGCGTCAATTTCCAAAATTATCAGTTTACAAAGTCTCGTAGATTTTTTCCTGAAATATTCTGCATTTGCCATTACGATTATCATTCATAGCCATATTTCTCCATTTTCTCGACGAGTATTGATATTAATATTTGCCACTGGAAGGCACCGGACATAATCTTCTCGATATACAGCATAAATAGTGGTTCTCCGCTGCATAATATAAATAGATATTCCGCGGCGAGTATCTTTTCGCGCGAGACGCGAGACGTGGTAACGACAACGACCCCCGAGAAATCCGAGATAAAAGGAGACAAACGCGCGACGCGAGCGAGCGGAGAGTGCTAATAGAACGGCGGCGGCGGCGGTGCGCGACGCGAGAGATAAATATTGCGCTAAATCAGCGCGGGCGAGAAAAACGAGAGGGGTACGAATATTTCTAATTAACGTGAGGCGTTACCACGTCGCATCGAAAAGGCTTATCGTTTGCGCTCGCGATAAATACGCGACAGTTACCTGGCCGTAATGTTGCCAGTGAACGCACATCGCTTAATCATGCACGCCGCCTTGGAATTTCTCGCTGCACGATGCGATCCCGACGGATAATTAACGTCACGCCATAAGTGTAACGCGTCCCTTCGCCCCGATTTCTGCTGCTCAAGACGAATCATCTCGGCTGGATTGATGTAACGATCGTTCCTTTATTCGATCTCCAAGGGACTCAGGAATTGGATTTTTCTTTCAGAAAATGAAAAAGAGAAAGCGAGAGGATTTGTCGCAGTTTATTTAATTTCCATTCAAGCGAAACTTGATTGTAAAAGGGATTTTTGAATTATTACTTTATTACATTCGAGACATATTGAAGGTAAACTGTAACTTTTCGAGAGAGAATGATCAGTCTTCTGTTCCCAAAAATTGTCTTATTAGTCACAATTTAAATAAAATTAGGT